ATAGTTCACTTGGCTGATCAGGCCAGGTGAGTTAACAAGTGAAAAAACCTCAATCAAATCACTTTTACAATAATCAAAGGTCAGAACAAACTAAATCCATCCTCTTTAACAAAGATAACCCACAAACAAGAGCTCTGCATGTTGCAATATTGAAGAAAGGAAAACAGAAATGTAGGTTGTGAATAACGGAGGCTGTGTTAATTTATTGTAAATGGTTTCTATTGATCTACAAGGTAGCACAGTATCACTTTTAAATGGACTTTCAAGCAATTTTAAACTAGATATTGATAAAATAGAAAGCGTCATATTTAGAACTGTTTTGATACATTGGAGTCACAAAATGTATAAAAAAAATCACTAAGCAATGGGTGTTTTACTTAGTTTTTATCTCTTGCAAAATTTGCATTAATGGTTGCCTCCTTTAACTCATATTTCTTTTTTCAAATTGTCTTTTACATTTTAAATGTACTAAAGGAATAATAAGATAGAGTATGTCTTCCCTTTAACGTTTTAAAAGTTAGGGCCCATGCAGACAAGATATTCCTGAAAACTTTGCACTTATTTGACCTTTGACCTCGAGGTCAAGGTCACAGTGACCTAACGACAGTGCACTCAACTTAGTACATTATCTGTGGTTGATGCAGATATACTGCGAGTTTTATCAAGATATCTTTAATTTAGCACTAATTTGACCTTATTGTTGGAGGAACTGCTTTCTGCTAAATTATAAAATGCATATGAACAAGTTCTAATTGTTATGGGTACCATGACAGAAGTCCTCAAAACTGACCATATACATGTAGTCGCAAATAATGCTTGGATAGAGTTTACGATGCCATCATATACGGGCATGGCAATGTGTTGTATCCTTGAGCAAGATACTTTACTCCGCTTGTTCCAGTCTACTCAGCTGTAAATGAATACGTGGTTGGGCAGTGCTAGAATTATTGAATGCTAGCTGTTAGCGCCGAAACGGCAGCTCCGGCTGTATGCTCCCCAGGGAGTTGAGAAATGTATTGGCTAGTTGCAAAGGCCCTATAACCACGGATAATAATTTGTGAACCGCTTTGAGATGACCTACGAATCAAACTAGGTTGTGATAAAGCGGTATATAAGAACCTACAGTTATTATTATTATTAATTATGTATACTAAGCTTAAACAAAATAAGACACAGTGGGACTGTTGGCATCACATTGGCGTACACCTTTAAATGTATGAAACAAGCAGACTATTTTTCACTTTCGACGTTGAGGTAAAGGCCAAAATGATCTAAAGACATTGCATTGTACATCATCTACACTGCAAGTTTCATCAAGATATCTTTAACGGTTTAAAAGTTACAGCACAGACAATATGTTCATGAAAAATTAGCACATTTTTGACCTTTGACCTTGGGCTCAAGGTCACAATGATNGTTGAAGTACTTCATGCCAGTTAGACATCAACATGCAAATCAAAGGTCACCCTCACACAAGTCCAAAGGTCACCCTCACACAAGTCCAAAGGTCCCCCTCACACAAAAGCAAAAGGTCACCCTCACACAAGTCCAAAGCTCCCCCTCACACAAGTCAAAAGGTCGTCCTCACACAAGTCCAAAGATCACCCTCACACAAGTCAAAAGGTCACCCTCACACAAAATCAAAAGGTCACCCTCAAACAAAATCAAAAGGTCACCCTCACACAAAATCAAAAGGTCACCCTCACACAAGTCAAAAGGTTACCCTCACACAAGTCAAAAGGTCACCCTCACACAAGTCAAAAGGTCACCCTCACACAAAATCAAAAGGTCACCCTCACACAAGTCAAAAGGTCACCCTTATACAAGACAAATATCAGGAGTTTAGGTCATTTCTTCAGGTGAAGTTGTACACATTATAACATTCAGATACATATATTGAAAGCAACCCCTAACGGCCCAGTTCATTTACAGATTTTTCTCTTCCACAATATCTGTAGACCCTGTAAAAAGGGAACCAAAGCAGTACATCAAAAGATAACAAAATCATTGGACTGCTGGTTCATTACAAGATTTTTTCGGATGCTCAATAGCCTGTTTTCTTTCTCAAACTTGATATCAATATCAGAGGAATACTTTCTACTCAATTTGGTTGTAATAGGTCCAGTGATTTTTACGGAATTGTGAAACAATTTTTTTACAGTAAAACGATAGACAATGGATGATAGTTCACTTGGCTGATCAGGCCAGGTGAGTTAACAAGTGAAAAAACCTCAATCAAATCACTTTTACAATAATCAAAGGTCAGAACAAACTAAATCCATCCTCTTTAACAAAGATAACCCACAAACAAGAGCTCTGCATGTTGCAATATTGAAGAAAGGAAAACAGAAATGTAGGTTGTGAATAACGGAGGCTGTGTTAATTTATTGTAAATGGTTTCTATTGATCTACAAGGTAGCACAGTATCACTTTTAAATGGACTTTCAAGCAATTTTAAACTAGATATTGATAAAATAGAAAGCGTCATATTTAGAACTGTTTTGATACATTGGAGTCACAAAATGTATAAAAAAAATCACTAAGCAATGGGTGTTTTACTTAGTTTTTATCTCTTGCAAAATTTGCATTAATGGTTGCCTCCTTTAACTCATATTTCTTTTTTCAAATTGTCTTTTACATTTTAAATGTACTAAAGGAATAATAAGATAGAGTATGTCTTCCCTTTAACGTTTTAAAAGTTAGGGCCCATGCAGACAAGATATTCCTGAAAACTTTGCACTTATTTGACCTTTGACCACGAGGTCAAGGTCACAGTGACCTAACGACAGTGCACTCAACTTAGTACATTATCTGTGGTTGATGCAGATATACTGCGAGTTTTATCAAGATATCTTTAATTTAGCACTAATTTGACCTTATTGTTGGAGGAACTGCTTTCTGCTAAATTATAAAATGCATATGAACAAGTTCTAATTGTTATGGGTACCATGACAGAAGTCCTCAAAACTGACCATATACATGTAGTCGCAAATAATGCTTGGATAGAGTTTACGATGCCATCATCTACAGGCATGGCAATGTGTTGTATCCTTGAGCAAGATACTTTACTCCGCTTGTCCCAGTCTACTCAGCTGTAAATGAATACGTGGTTGGGCAGTGCTAGAATTATTGAATGCTAGCTGTTAGCGCCGAAACGGCAGCTCCGGCTGTATGCTCCCCAGGGAGTTGAGAAATGTATTGGCTAGTTGCAAAGGCCCTATAACCACGGATAATAATTTGTGAACCGCTTTGAGATGACCTACGAATCGAACTAGGTTGTGATAAAGCGGTATATAAGAACCTACAGTTATAATTATTATTAATTATGTATACTAAGCTTAAACAAAATAAGACACAGTGGGACTGTTGGCATCACATTGGCGTACACCTTTAAATGTATGAAACAAGCAGACTATTTTTCACTTTCGACGTTGAGGTAAAGGCCAAAATGATCTCAAGACATTGCATTGTACATCATCTACACTGCAAGTTTCATCAAGATATCTTTAACGGTTTAAAAGTTACAGCTCAGACAATATGTTCATGAAAAATTAGCACATTTTTGACCTTTGACCTTGGGCTCAAGGTCACAATGATGTATTGACAATGCACTGTACATTGGCTATGGGTGATGCAGCTATACTGCAGGTTTCATCAAGATATATTTAACGGTTTAAAAGTTACTGCCCTGACAAGATCATATTAGAAGAACCAGAACCAGAACCAGAAAAACCAGTACTCATACAATTCCTTTCATTCAAAGCAGATACAAAATAAGTGGTACCTTACCATAAACCTCAGTTACCCTCACACAAAACCAAGGTCATCCTCGAAAAAACCTAGGTCACCTTAACAAAACCAAAGGTCACTCTTTCAAAAAACAAAGGTCACCCTCACACAAACAAAAGGTCATCCCAACAGAAAAGGTCACCCTCACACAAACAAAGGTCATCCTAACAGAAAAGGTCACCCTCACACAAACAAAAGGTTGTCCCTAACAGAAAAGGTCACCCTCACACAAACAAAAGGTCATCTTAACAGAAAAGGTCACCCTCACACAAACAAAAGGTCATCCTAACAGAAAAGGTCACCCTTACACAAACAAAAGGTCATCTTAACAGAAAAGGTCACCCTCACACAAACAAAAGGTCATCTCAACAGAAAAAGTCACCCTCACACAAACAGAACAAACAAAAGGTCATCCTAACAGAAAAGGTCACCCTCACACAAACAAAAGGTCGTCCTTANCAAATGTCGACATCACAAATAATGAAGGTCATTATCACACAAATCATAAATCGCCCTCATACAAGCCAAAGCTCACTTAAACATAAATCAAAAATCAAGTGTTATTCTCACACAAACTAAAGGTCACCCTAACATAATTCCAACAGGCATCTTTATATCAACCAAAACAATATCTTCACACCAAACAAAAGGTCTTTTACAAACCTCAGATAACCCTAACACAATCCAAATATCGGAGAGTAATTAACTTCTAGAAAAACAGTGATAACAATGTTGAACTTTAAAATTCCAAGATGGCTGCCCTAGCTGTTATACTGAATGGTCCAAAACTGAAACATGCACAACTAGGGACCAAGGGCAACCTTCAGATGAAATTTGAGAAATATTTCATATGCAATTGATATACACTTTATTTATTTTACAACAATTATAAAACAAGTTAAATAACCTATATTAATAACTTTTATTGACCCGTATGTTAGCGTGCAGGGAGTCTTAATGTGGGAGGAAACCAGAGTACCCGGAGAAAACCCATGTCGTCGGGAAGGTGACCTCATACCTTTTTACGTCAGATTAGGGAATGGAACACTGTCTGCCTTGGTGAAAGGCGAGTGCGTTTTCCACTGCGCCACCTGACCACCCAGCAAACCAAGCCTGAAACACCACCTAAAATTTCTGAACACACCACGCACCTCAAATGTCTGTTCAAAACCAAACAATCGCCCTTCCCCTCCTATCTCTCCCTTTCTTACCTGACAGCATCATTATGGCTGGGGAAGCGAAGCAAGGCATAGCTGGCTGTAACACTGATCACTCGTCCTCCACAATTCGTCGACAGCCTCTTCAAACAGTTCTCCACCATCTTGGATGGCTGATTGGTAGGGAATCCTACCACTACTAGCTCTTTCTGACCCTCCTCTGACTAGAAAATAAAACAAAGGGAGCCAATAAGGGTAAACATACTTTAAATTCATGACAAAATAGGGTGACAAAAATTACTTCTTTCGAATGTACTGCAGTCGTTTTTATCAGCATCCCTCAAAACAGTGGATCTGTAAGCCACTGGACTATATCCCTAAAAGATTATTTGATATCATTTTTATTTTCCAAAATCAAAAATGACCATACTACACACTGACAACTTGGAATATTCCATGCAGGGTTAATTCATGTTTATTATGCTGGGCTGGACTGTCCATCCGTTTATCGGTGAATGTGTTCGTTTTGATCAATATAATTGTTATGTGTGTATATGATATCCTCTTGTATTTAATATATGATGGAGTTATGTGATAAAAACAAGATAGCAAAAGAAAGTATTTTTTTTTTCTTTATTTTTTTTTCCTGAACAACAAAATTCAATAGCTAGATGTATCTAGGCAGAAAGAAAGGGTACATTTTCAGTGCCTACATATAGATGTCTAAGTCTAATATGTTACACATGTTCAGTCAACCTAACACAGTTAAATGCTGTTTTAAGGAGAGTTACATAGCTGACCAATTTGTAGCATTACAACCCACTCAGATGCAAAATGCACATATTTCCTCGAAGTCAAATGATAAAATATCACATAACTTTTACTCGGCGTAAATAACCATGTTTACAGTACCGAACCTTCAGTGTAGTGTAAGTATATGTATAAACTTTCCCACTTTGTCCTTATTACATCTCCCAGACAGACTCACCTGATCAGGCTCGCGATGTGGAAGGTCCTGCACAAGGTCCTCATAAAGAAAGTGCTCATTGGCACAAAGTTTTAGAGCCTCATGTACATGTTTCGTGTGGATCAGGATCACATGGTAACCCTTTCGATGACGCATGTCTGACAAATCAGATGCAAAATTGACGTCACCTGCAAATAAAAAAATTGTCACTAACATTAGCAGTATCATAGATAAAAATGATTGTGTGTCTTTTATTGACTATCAATGGAAACTTCACAGTGAAAATACTGTTAAGAAGATAACAATGATCTTATTACATTGTATATATTACTAGAAGTGGTAGCATGTAATTAATTATAAGTTACTATACATGTTGGTACAGTGCTGTGAAAGCATATGGTTCTGAGTCATGTGGAAATGACTGGAGGGTAAGACAAACGACTTCCTAAAGATCATGATCATGACCACAGATAAGGGAGGTGATTCATAGGACTTAATCCTCAAAATGAGTATTATAGGATGTTTAACTTACTAGAGATAAGTAAAACAACAGCTGGCGGGGGATATTTGTCAGTGAAGCGCCGGAGACTCTGGCGAAGTTTGTCATCAGCAGCATTCTTACTGGTGGCATTGATGTGTACAACATCCACCTGAAATATGTCCCATTAACACATATTACATTATAAATTACCATCAATAGTACAGAAACACACACAGGCCAGCTCTCAATATTAAAATCTCATCCTTGTGAAACACTTTCATTTAACTGAAAATTATGTTGGTTCAATTTTCACAATAAAAGTATCAAACATATAAAATGCTATTGTTTTTAAACCAGGATATGTAGGGTATACATCTGTGTATTTTTCACAAGATATTCAAATTCATGTAAACTTACTAAAATAACCTTCACCAAGGCATGCTAACTAAGAGCCAAATATCATCACCCCAAGCTTCCATGTTATTCAGAAGAGGTAATTCAAAAGTTTTAACAAAATGACAAGTGACTATAAAAGTGGGTCAAGGTCATCCATTTAAACAAACAAGCAAAATATTCAGGAATTCAAAGGTAGTAGACCGTTTGTTTTTCAAATAATATTTCCAACACTTGGACACATGGAATGTAAAAACAAGAGGTGCATGTCCATAAATTAATATTTCAAATTATGACAGAATGGACAGGTGCATGCATGTACATGAAATTACTGTGACTTTAACAGTGATTCAAGGTCATTCATTTTAAGAAAAATAGTAGTCCTTCATGCTTGTATCCTACTGGTCAAACGTCATCATCTTAGGCCTGACTTCCAACTGGTTATTCAGAAGAAGTTGTTCACAGTTATTGCAAATTTGACCCTTGGAAAACATGCATTGGTGAAATAAACTTGATTATCTAGGAAAATATGAAAAAAAAAAAATCAATCAAACTCATCAAACATGTTGATATTTAAAGGATTTTACAAAATATTGTACCTGGGCTGCGTTGAGATCCTGAATGACTTGCTTATTTTCTTTAGTGGTGTCACACACACACAGGAACTCTACCTCTCGTCTGCCAACGAAAAACTTTTCTCGGATACATTTTACAATGGTTAAGGCTGACTTCCAACGGGGCACATTACAGTTTTCGATGTCCCAGAAAACACCAATTGGGGCCAGAAGATTGCTCGTCATTTTTAATGGATGAAATGCTTATGCTGTAAAAGAATCAAATAGTAGATTTAGCAAGAAAGAAATATTTCAATCTCTCTTTATTTCTACATAAACTTTTGATACTTAGCCATATGAAAGAAAATGTTTCATAACATTTTCGTTCCTTATTCCTAAATGATAAGTAAACCCAACGATCAATTATGAAATTTTAACCAACTTCCACCACTTGCTGAACTGTTAAAATGTGAAGTAGATGTACATGTAACTTATGAATTTAAAACACTTATATATACATAAAGAAGCTTTTGAAAAATAATATGATACTGACATATTTCCCTGTGTATTGTGGTATACTGGTTTTCTGCCATATATTGTGATAGCCCTGATTGTATCTATGAGTTACATTCACCTGTTCTTTATAGCACCTAGAGAATAATTAATTTGAAATGGCAGGTTAGCACAACACAGTAATCATGCTTTTATTAATATGAAATCTCAAATTTACAAAGGATTTTTTTTACATTATTTACTGTTCATACATGTAACTTACATAAAATTGGTGATGGAAATGTTGTCTAAGCTTCTATATATAATATGGGATCAGTTATATATTTTATTATGCAGAAATATATAATACATATAGCTGAGGATCATCTGCACGTGTGACTATGGGACGACCATGGCCAGAGTTTCAGAGGTTCAAGGCACTGTACAAAGTATATATGAAGCACAAAGAATCAAGGCCTTCCTCCCAACATCACTCTCTATCCCTGCTATCCTGTCCATTTCTGCAAAACAGATAAATTTTCATTTTAGATATAGCCATTAAGAGTTTCCATTTAAGCATTCAAGCTGATTAAGTTAGTGAATTTTATATATGTACACAATTATGATATTACTTTATCAGTACTAGTGGTTTCTCTGGGTTATAAGGTCCCATTGATTCATTCACGTAAGCTTCACAAACAAGAACCCCTACCTGTAACCTGATGTCTAGTTGTTTGTGTGATAAATAAAAATCTAATATATATCTGCAAAAACTGTTTTGTTTTTATTTCCTGCAAAGATCTTGAAGTAAAAAGATCAACAATGCAGATGTTACAGTAATCAGTGAAAGTCAGGATTTGTTTGATACATAGGTAAATGATATCTTAACACCTGAAAAAGACCTTACGCTGCGACGCTGTCAGAAGTCTCACACTTCAGGAAACCCAGAGGAGGGAGATCTCCCACACTGGACTCCTTAGAGGTTGGCAACCCTGTGATTGCAAGTCCCACTCAAATTGAGTCAATATTAAACTGCATGGGCCTAACTAATGATGAATGGGTTATTTTAATTATTTTTCACATGTAGCTAGTTGCGACTTTGACTAACTTCTTCATTTTTTTAAATTTTAATTTAATTTTTTATTGTTTTTATTATCAGAAACCTCAAATGTTGCCCAGCCGAATGTCGTAGAACAGCCTACCTCTGCCTTGTTAGGTCCATTCTTGAGCACAGGTGACTGCCGTCTTGGAACCCTACGTACAACAAGACAAACAGACTTGAGCAAGTGCAAAGGAGGGCAGCAAGGTTTCATCTCCAGAGACTTCTGCTCACATTAGAGGAAGGATGTGTGACCAAAATGTTAAGAGATGCGGGCCGGTCCACACTAACAGAACAACGTCGAATGCTTCGCCTGGTTATGTTTTATAAAGGGGTCGAGGTTGTGATGGTGACTATCAGTATAATAATACTGTTGAAAAATACTCCTACAACAACTATTTCAAAGTCCAGAATTGTAAAACGGACCATTTAAAAAACTCTTGACTTGGAACCATCTGACCTACCACTACGTACTCCCCCCCTCCCTCCCCCGGATGCAATACATGTACTGAGGGACCCTGCACTGTATATGTATCCACAGATACCATGAACAGATACAGATCTTATATTGGGTAGAAGTGTTTACATTGCAAAACATGAATCAAAGTTGTCAGAGGAGTTTACCTGTTATTGCAAAAATTACTGGTTCTATTTAAGGGTAACATAAATGGCGATCTTATCATTGTGGATGTGTTGGTCGTTTTTTATACAAAAATAACCAAAGAGGTAGAAAAGAGGTTGAGAAGATTTACTGCAATCCCTGCACAGCACACGGGGACTACAGTACCTACAACAGCTATAATATGTGCCTGTGAACAGGAGAGGTCCAAACATGCGTGAATATATACACGGATTCGTTATTGATTGTTACGACCCTGTGAGGAGAGGGCAGTTAATACACCGAAACATAGAAACATCGAAATGAAACATCGCCAAATCATTCTATTGGCTTCTCAAACATAACAGTCATAACATATGACATAACAGCTGAGTTTGACCAGACGACGTCAACAGTCACCTGGTCACATCGGCATATCACAAGCATCGGTTTGTATTGCGAATGACAACGGTTTATATAAGTTACCTCATCTACCAAATAAATCGTAGGCTTACCAGGGTAGCTTTTAACTATCACATGTTCGTGAACCACCACATCATAACAACTACTGTACAGCTGTGTTTTGTAAAGTTTCACCATCAAATATAAGGGGGATAACTCTGGCTGGATTTCGTACAGGTCGCGCACAGTAAATATTCATTACAGCTCGAAAAACACCTAACAGCGCCGTGCCTAAAGAGTTCACGATTTCTGCTTTCAACAAACTTCATTATATAGAATTTGATTAGATTACAGGCAAAACTTTATATAAACTTTTCTCCAGTAGTGATATCACAACGTTACTGTATACATAAATATTAGAATTTAAACGAAAAAAAAATGAATCTCCACCATACATACATATATGTACATCAGATTTGTTTTACATGCCTCTGCATACATGTAAAAGACAATTTAGAGATCGTGTGTATAATATGAATTGATTTGGTACAATCAGAGACGTAGGTCCCTGCATGGTTTCAAGAAAATAACTGTATTATGAGTTAAATTAAGTACTTAATTTACACTAGGCCGAGATAGAAAGAAATTAACAGTAAACACGTATACATCCACGGAATTTGATTAGATCTAAGTCCGTCGTTCTCAATTATCTTATCAAATAATGGCAATGGATTTTAATTGTTTAAGAATAACTCATCATAATTATATTGAAAATCACTTTTCGGGAAAACTATTGTCATATATTTTATATTCATATAATTTTCTGTCAGGATAAAATTTCATGTCTACTAACAGTTAGTGTATTTTGTATTTTGATTCATTTTTCTAACACATAGATATATTTTCAAATAAAGCATCATTTTGCATCTTCAACCAAAACCTGTAACTATGCACTGTAAATCTTTGTTCCCTGTACGTTAACGTTGTTGTTGGTGTACATGTTGTAATGATACATCCCCGGCTTTGGTATGTTATCGGAGCACCCGAAGAGCAGATGGCTTGGACAGCAAAAAACAACTGAGTCAATCGAGTAAGATACGTAATACTAGGAACAGGTACGGACTTATATTCCGTGGTACAGGTGATCAAACGAAGATCAGGGTTTGAAGGCTGAGCTAAGAGGGATGAAAAAATAGTGTTAAAACAGTAGGCCGAAGAGTTTAATGTTAGAGGAGACCGGGGCAAGTTCGACCCATGCTTTTTTAAAGTCGCTCTGGACAGCATGTCATTTGTTGAAGGTATCAGTAGTTATTTCTATATATTTTATATTAAAGGACAACTGCACCCGTATCTTAAGAATTGCCGCTCCTTTGGGCAAGTTTGGACTGTCCACAGACAGTCTGCAAGAGTACGTGTAAGTTCGGCCCACGAGGCAACATACGTACATGTAATTATGACGTCATAAAGCATGCAACGTCAGATTTCCCCGCCGCAGTCACCGCTTAATTTCCGCGCGTGGCCGGTCGATCTGCCCTAGCCGGATTGATATTAAAATATAATATCCATATATTAGGCCTACCAGAAATACGTCTCTGGCTTTGTGGCTCGCGAAGATGTCTGTATTTCTGAGATTCTCAAAACTGTGAATATGTTTAAAAATATAAATATATCTATATATATATATCCCGGCGCTACACAACTCACGTTGCGTTGTTGCACGTTTTATTTAAGCCGTTTGAGCTATATTTAGATGGAGAAAGCCCTTCCGCTGGAGTCCCCATGCCACTGGAAGTAGTATGAAGGGACATAATGTACTACGCTTTGCTGGGTATACTTTGGCTGTAGGTTTTTTAACTGAGATTATATACACTGTTTATAAAAGATTGTCAAAGAAGTCAAAAGCGAAGAATGACACGACAGAGGTTATTTTCTTCCCCGATAGTCAAGTTGCCTGCATTGATTATTTCACGAAAGTCAATGGCTGTGTGGCAAGGGATTGCAAATTTTCCCATAAGGAAAATTCACTCAGTAAGCTGTTTATGATACTTTCTAAGTCCACAAAGAGTATGGATGTTTGTGTATTTGTGTTGACTTGCACTGACCTGACGGATCTGCTCATCCAGGCACACAAAAGAGGCGTACGTGTACGAGTGATCACTGACTGCGAGCAGGTAGACGCAACCGGCTCTCAGGTCTGGCGTCTCCGTAGCGAAGGTAAAATGACAGCTCAACTATGTAATCAAACTTTATACAGAGAGTATTCCAGAAACTCATTTAAATGCGAATTATCAATACATTATAATACATGGTCCTTTATTTGTGGCTTAAGCGAGTGTACATGTATGTTCACCACAAGTAAACACGTTTCCTTCTGGCTTGCCATTTCACCTATTTTACCAAACATGTTGGTTAATTCAAAGGTACTAGTCTCGTCTGTCAATACACCGATACTGATTATATAATGGGTGAATTGACAGACGAGGCTACTCAGGCTAGTACCTGTTGTTAATTATCTTTAGAATGTTGAGTGTCACATACTGAAACCAGATCTTGTACCCTAACTACATGTATTTACAGGGTTAGAACCCCTGGCTCATTTTGAAACTATAATTGTCCAGGATAATAGCCTTACTATTTTAATATTTGTTCATTAAACTTAAATTCTTGGGAAGACAAATTGTCTGGAACTGAAATTGGGTCTAATGCCCTTGTATATTTAAATATAATGATTTATGAATCTTATTAGATGCTACATTACACATAATACAAATGACAGTATATAAATCTATACTTTACAATTTCATTTGCTGTGTTAAACTTAAAATGAATTTACATATTGTGAATTAAATTTAATTGAATATAATATCTACGATGAAGGTAATTGATACATGATAATTAATCTTACCTTTGGCAAGCAAAACAGACAAAAGTTAGTGTTAAACATGATTATTAAATGTGTGTTTTAGGTGTTGCTGTACGAACAGATGAGTCCTCATTCTTTATGCATCATAAGTTTGTGGTTATCGACGAGAAGACACTTGTTAATGGATCATTTAACTGGACCCGACAGGCTATCACAGGCAACCAGGAGAACTTGCTCATCTCGGACAACTCCACTCTGGTTAAGGAGTATTGTAAACAGTTTGACCATCTTTGGATGCTCTACGACCCTCAAAGAGGTCAACTTGACTGACCACCGACCTGAATCTTCAGCACAATATTTGTGGTATTTCTGTCGATTCTAGAGGAAAGCAAAGTGTGGCTGTCACCAATCCTGGGTACAGTATTGTTCATGGTATCATGAACTATAAAAGCTACTTGCGTGACTGTAAGCCTGCCAATGTCACTGATAAGGTGTAGCTCTCCATACCTAAAAAGTGTGGTATATGGACTACAAAGTGCACTGCTGGTTAAAGTCAACAAAGTACTAGGAGGGGCAACATGGATGGAATCTTTGTGCAGGTTTTCTATTGAAGCAAAGGTGACTCAGAGTGATTACTCCATACACGATGTACGTGTTGTTGGTATCATCATTGTCAGTGAATGACAGTGATGTTCAGACAGTTAGTAAAAGTGTGACAGGAAGGAATGCTTTGATTTTCATGAAACATTTTACACACACAAACAAGTGTATAGTATAAATAACCTAAGTGTAAATCAACATGACAGCCAGTGATGAGGACAGGGGACAGATCCACTCCTGTGGAATTCTTGTTGGTATTTTTGTATATATGTTTGTTGTTATAAAGAATAAAACACCAAATCAGGAAAGATTTTTTTTCATTTGTCGAAGACAATTATTTTCCTGAAGAATGTCTGAAAATGATTTGCTTTAGCTAGCATTCCCTTACAATTGTATACACTAAATGATGCATATAAACATATTAATATTGTGATAAACAAAGTTAAATTAATTGACTGGCTTATTGGGTTTTGGACTCCTGTCCCACTGCACTGTGGTTTGTATACGCCCGTCAAATTTGATGGGAGTGTTATGGTATGGCATCGTCCGGCCCGCTTGCCGGCATAAACTTTTGTTTGTCTGGCAATTTTCTCCTACATTTTTCGATCGATCATTTTAAAACTTATTATATACATTATAATCATGATATGAAGTTGTGTCTCCCTTAAAAGAATTTTGATTCAACATTTTTTGCAAAAGTTATTGCCCTTTGTTCATTTCAGTATTTGATTTTTTTTGTCCAGAGATTTTCTCCTACATTTTTTATAGCATGTCAGCTAACCACTCTTAGAATGATGCAGATCTTATTTCATTGTAAGAAAGTAAATAACACTATATAGCATTCGACGGTCGTATATTGTTCCGCCCCGCGGTACTCTTGTTCATACATGAATCGAAGTAACCTCCCCTTAACTTCCATTTAGATATAACTGCAGAACCATTTTACCAGGACACTTCCATTGAGCAGGAAGCTCAGTTGGTTTGAGTGATAGTTAAGTAGTCTAAAAGTTCAGGTCAAATCCGGGTCTAGCCCAGTGTTTGCTTTTTTATTGACACCCAAGAACACTGTTCTAAAAAAGTCCCACAAGATATGCTTTTTATTCAGAAATAATTTATCGAATATGTTTTAATGCCAGAAAAAACAATTTACAATATGTAGTTACTGTTAAGTTTTTAGTAGTGGTGCAGGGATCCTAAGGAAAAGTATGGGTAAAAATATCTCTCATGAAGAGAAGCACTCCAAGTGAGTTTTCAGTAGGAGGGAGATTGAGGATCTGAATGTGACATTCACTGATTATCACAGTACAATGTAAATACACAAATATTTAATTGAAGATATGATGATCCTTGTATACCTTTTTTTCCTTTTTGAAATCCCTGCATTTGTGATACATGTACATACAAGGCAGAACAAAGTAAGTGGGTAATCTATCTTGGGGGGGAAATGCATCTCAAATTCTCTTGGTCATAGATTATGCTTAGATTATGATCAAAACACATTTTATCTTCCAAACAACATTTTGATCCCCTTTATAGTTGAAACCTGGTAGGAATGATCAAGAATGATATCTGACTATGTGTTTTGTATTTTTTTTTTTTAAATTCAATAAGACATCCATCAAATTTCTTGAAATGTGTTGCATAATGATTGGTTTGCTTTTGACCATATCCTATTTTACTGAGATCCAGTTATATCATGAAGCACCAAAACATCCTTCAAACCCAGGAATCATGTTGTAGAAGATGTAGCCACCAAGATAGCTACCAGATATATATATATAGATATCATTTATTTTTGTTGCAAGTTTGTAATTGATGTTTCTCATGAAGTATCAATTGTTCTCAAGAAGGTTGCTCTTGGTACCTGCATTTTGAGACTGATCTGAAGAACAAGATGGCTACCAGATAACCATCTTTGATCTTGACAAAACATTTTTATCACTATTTCTCAGAAAGCCGATGGTGTTTTTTCCCCCTGAAGTTCCTTTATAGGCTCTTCTCAGTGTGCATGTTCCATTTTCAGCTTGCTTAAAAAGAAATCATCCAGACAGACATTGAATTTGGCAGTTTGAAGTCTCAGATGACCCATTGCAATTGCTTTTATGTCCATTGTCATGCATTGTCTGTCTGTAAACAAATCACGTTTATCCATGTAACTTCTTCTCTATGGCGTTGTCCGTCCGGCGTAAACTTTCTTTGTCCGGCAATCACCTCCTATATTTTTCGACTGATCTATTTGAAACTTGGTATACATTATAATCATGATATGAAGTTGTGTCTCCCTTAAAAGAATTTTGATTCGACATTTTTTCCAAAAGTTATTGCCCTTTGTTCATTTCAGTATTTAAATTTTGTCCGGAGATCTCCTCCTACATTTTTCGACCAATGTCTTTGAAACTTATTATATACATTATAATCATGATATAAAGTTGTGTCTCCCTTAACAGAATTTTGATTCGACAATTTTTCCAAAAGTTATTGCCCTTTGTTCATTTCAGTATTTGAATTTTGTCCGGAGATCTCCTACATTTTTCGACCGATCTCTTTGAATCTTGCATTGGTATACATGATAACCATGATATTTCAGTATTTGATTTTCTGTCTGAAGATTTTCTCCTACATTTTTTATAGCATATCAGCTAACCACACAAAGGTAACAGATTTATATAAGTGTATTAACACTTGTTTCTGTCTCCAATTCATTTATGACATATGTTATGTGAATAAAACAAAGTTTAAACTAACCACTCTCAGAATCATGCAGATCTTATTTCAATGTAAGAAAGTATATAACACTATGGGCGTATTTTGTTCCGCCCCGCGGTACTCTTGTTTATAATCATCTTCTTCAGACCCTGGCTCATCCCTAAGGACCCGACGGGTGGTGCACAAATGGGTCAAATTGACTAAAAGATCTATAATCTTGATTCTTCATAAGAATCAGATTAGCTAGAATCTAATATTCTTCATGGATGAATACGTCCTAAGTTGTCTTATCCATGTGTTTAAGGTGGCTCCACACATCGTCATCAGCGTCCATTTTCGTGACGTAGTTCCGGAAAAAGTACAGCTCGGACTCAATTATCTAAACGAAATGTGCATGTACACCGTGTCGTCATTTCCGTATTGCGTATCGGGCATTCAATATCGTAATGCAAATTATAGTAACACTTGGGCTATTTTCGTTTAAACGGTCAAACCGATCGGACCACTGTTGTTCGTTTATTAAATAAGGTCGGACCTAGTAATCTGATGCTGCTTTCAGGCGAGAAAGCCTTGCAAGGCCTGCATACACATTTGCAGGGCCGCCAGGATTTATACCCGAAATTGTTACATTTATAAACGGTCAAACCGGTTGTTTCGCATAAACGAACAGGCCCCCGGTAAACAATAGTACACGTGCGTGCCGATGATATGTCAACACCCGATATCGAGATTTTACCGGGAAATGTATAATCACACGTACTTCAGCAATAAAGCTTTCCAATTCATAGACATAAACAGACTCACGGGACATATAGGAAACGCATGGAATGCGGACATATCGACCTCACATGTGCATATCACGTGCTTACATGTACACGAGTTCATAAGCTCGAGGTCGTTAAGTTTTCGCTGTTGAGGGAGTTTCGCTCAGTCGATTCTTACTCTGTGAAAATAATGTTTTGTAAAATATCAAGATACCTATGAAATGCATGTATGAGTGGACGTGAGAACGGCATACCAAGCGATAGCCTCTGGTCATATATGTACCTGACATGTAATTATAAATATACCGTGAGTTAGCGGACTGTGGAATGATGTCTAAAGTGTACATAGCTGAGGGTAATTTGGTTCCATTAAAGAACAATAAATTGATAATTTTGATATCATATTTTTTGATTTATTTCCAATATTTTTGTTGTATGTAAACAGAGACAACTGTCATTGTGTAAATGTCACCCCTCTGCAAAAAGTTCCGATTTTTTTCAAGGAAGATAACTCTCACCCGGATCAAAGTGATTGTAAAATGTAAAATCAATTAATTATAAAGCCATTGTGTATATTTTGTTCAATATCCCATTTTATATGTATAGATCTTTGTGTCCTGTTTACTTTTAGCTTGTAGATAATCACTTTTATCCGTACAAATTCAATAAAAAACACTTTGTATAACATGTGTTACATATTTTGCGATAAATAAAATATTTGTGGGGTTAATAAGAAATGCTTCTTTTCATTTTATTATTGTTGTTTTTGTTCCGAACAATGCCACACACAAAATAAACCGGAAAATATCAAAATGGACGAAAATTCTATTTTTTGGTATTTTTTCCAAAAAAGTCCCCAAACTATCGGAATGTTTAGTTTTTCATAAAATCAACTCTACATAGTTGCATAACCATTATATGAAAGTTTCAACGAATTTTGCTGGTTAATTGCAAAAGTCTGGGTTATCCAATCTTCCCTGGGGAGGGGGTAAATGTCACTAAATTTTAGATCTGGATAACATTTTTAGATATATATTGTATATATGTTCTGACTACAGTTTGGTATGAAAAAGACCCTGACTAATCCCTAAGGCACGAGGAGCTGAACTCTAAAACACTATTCTTCCTCTTCAGACCACGATGAGCTATAGTCAAATCCTCTTTCCTGTTTGATGATGTGAAAAATAAAAAAATAGACCCTATCTCGCATATAGAGCAGACCCAGATTCTTAGAAACAAATACTTTTTATGGGTAATATGGAAATTGTGAATTTCATCCTCCCCCAGAAAAAGGCAACACATGCCCAAAATGTGTTATGTGAAAAAATTGTGTTATGACATAAGAAAAGACTTGAGGTAGAATCCATTTAACAGGAATATTTCGTTAAGCCATCACTACAACAGATGAAGAAAGTAGGATTGCTATGTGTCGCGGAACAGGAACCCTTGTAGACCAGCTCATAATAGCGGTGGATAGCATAATAAGATGGTCGACAAAGAAAGTTAGTGACTCCTACCTTTTACAGCGACGGAAGTAGGGCTAGGATTTGTATTTCTACACGTGTTGAGATAGGGATTCTTGATTACCACTGACGAGTCCGAAATTGGCGAAATGAGCATAAATGGTGTTGTAAAAATAAATGCTTTGTTGAGTTTTCTGCAACGATATGCTAAAAAAATTTAAGTGCTCCCTTCCTCCTATTTCTAGTAATTATTCTAGAAACGGTTACTGCACGGACTAAACCATTTCCTCCATGTCATGCATTTGATTTTGATTTTGTAAAAATACGTAATTGCTCACTGGAATGCCGTTTTACGGTTACTTAAACCACCAACACATATTTGCATACATGACCTGTTAACTACAAAAAATAAGCAATTAAGTAATTTTTACAGTGATAAGCTAAACTTATTAAATGAGGAATTTTAACAAGGACATCAGAAATTGGAAGTCTTCAGCAAAACTATTGACATGTTATTTTAGAAGAAAACGACATGTACTAAATCCCATTTTGATTGCAATGTGTTTAAGAGTTATGAATAAAGGCAGCGATAATCAGTTTTGTTTATATACATTAACGGTTAAGTTGTTG